ATCTATCTATCTATCTATCTATCTATCTATCTATCTATCTATCTATCCATCCATCCATCCATCCATCCATCCATCCATCCATCCATCCATCTATCTATCTATCTATCCATCCATCCATCCATCCACCTATCTATCCACCTATCTACCCACCCATCCATCCATCTCAACTACCTTTGAACATGGGGGTGAGGTTTGGTTGGATTAATACCACGTTCTTCCAAAGGCAGATGTGTCCCACTAAAAAAATCAATAATCTGCAGCAAAAAAAAAAACCCTTCATCCTTTGAAATAGGTTTCAAAATGATCATATCACTTAACTTTCCATTACATTTATTTCTATATAACATGTTTTTGGAGGCTACAATTATTTAGATCAGATACATCTTCTGAAGTGAACTATGAACAATCTGTCAATCAACCAGCACATTATTGTTATTTTAAGCTACCAACACATTATTTTAAAAATATATTTTTATCCTACCTTTATTATTTTTATGAATAACTTAACCCTGTGAGATGGGTTGCACTGAGAGAGAATGATTTGCCCTTGATTACCAAATGGCTTTCGTGCCTAAAGTGGGATTAGATCTCAGAGTCTCCTGGTTTCCAATTGTCTTAATTAATAGTCAGCACTTGCTCATAATTAGCTATTAATATTTTTTTTCTGCACATACCACTCTAAAAACTAAATATTCAATTTAATTAAATTATAGTTACATTTAAATAAGAAGTGCAAACACACTGCAGATATTAGTGTAGCTTGATTCTAAGAAGTAAATTCACTTTAGTCTAGGTTTCAAAGCATTGGAATTTTAAAAGTGATATTTCTTTACCAATGACACCTACCTACACTTAAGGTTGACCGGGCTGCTTTCATCAAAAATCGGTCTAATTTATAATATGCATTATAAACTTCCATCGAATGATCCCGATCTTTAGCTTGACCGTTAACATCTTCATAATCCTTGCTTTCATTTCCATACAACGTCAAGAATCCAGCTCTGCAGAGTTAGGAAGGGATTAAAACAATTATTTTAAAATGCCATTATACAATATATTGTAAATGTCACATATCTTAGGAATAGATAAAGTAAATCCCTGACATTCTATACTATTTCTTTTGTATAAAGATGATATTTTTCTCCTCTATTATAAACGTTTCATCCTCTATTCTTGGTTTCTCCAGTCTGGTATCTTTCAGATGTGTTGGAATTACAACACAATGCTAAACAAGCTCCTCTGTTGAAAACATAGCCAGCCACCTTTTCAGCTAAGTGTAAATCTCTCTTTCTTCTCTCTCAATTCGAGTGCAGTTCTTGAAACTACAGCAGGGGCACCCAATCCCTGGGCCGTGGGCTGGTACCGGTCTGTGGCCTGTTAGGAACCAGGCTGCACAGCTAGAAGTGAGCAGCAGGCATGTGAAACTGTGCATGCACTGGATAATAGGTTGTTTGCTCCTCCCCACCCCTCCTTGGTCAGTGGAAAAATTATCTTGCACAAAATCGGTGTCAAAAAGGTTGGGGACCACTGAGTTAGGTAGGGTTTCTAACCACAGAGGTAGGATTTCTAACCATAGAGGTAGGGTTTCTAATTATAGAGGTGGGGCTCCTAACCATAGAGGTCATGTTTCTAACCATAGAGGTAGAGTTTCTAACCATAGAGGTAGGATTTCTAATTATAGAGGTGGGGCTCCTAACCATAGAGGTCGTGTTTCTAACCATAGAAGTAGAGTTTCTAACCATAGAGGTAGGGTTTCTGCAGGGTCCAATCTAGGTCGGTCATTGGGACCAGAGATTTTGTCTTCTCAGCTTTTGGACTCGTGCTGGAGCCCATCTTCATGGAACTTTTCTCTAGCCCTGAAGATGGGGTCCAGCACGAATCTGAAAGCTTGGAAGACAAAACCTCTGGTCCCAGTGACTGACCTAGATTGGACCCTGCAACGTTATACAGGGACACATATGTTCATCTTCATTCATAGGGTTTCTGTCCTAAAGCCCTTAGCCAGATATTATTTGGCTCACTTAATGAAGCACTTCCTCTGGCAAAAGGAGGAGTGCTGTGTTTACTTGTCAACATTTATTCTTTTGAAAACTGTTGAGACTCCAAATAGTAGGAGACTCAGCATGGTTGAACAATTGTACCCTAAGAATGTATGTCAATGATTCTACATCATTACATCAAGAGGCATACAACAAGTCTCTTGGCTTTGGGTTATTCAACACATTTATAAAAGATTTAATCAAGGTTTAGAAAATATCAAGTTTGCAAAATATCAAATATCTAGCTAGGAAACAGAAAAATGAATTTCAAAACAAGCACAAAGTTTTTCATTTAGATAGAAAACAGCATATAGTAGTATTATATCCATACTACTTAGTACTACTACTAGTTAGTAGTACTTGCAAAAAAGTTCTGGGTATCCTGGTGTATCATAAAATAATACACTGCTCTATTCAGCAGAGATTAGACCACATATAGAATATTGTGTCTGGTATTGGGCACTATATTTTAGGACGGGCATTGACAAACTGGAGCATTTATTTTATTTTATTTAAATATTTATATAGTCACCCATCTTCAGATAATTCTGGCTAGCACCCAATCAAAAATTAAGAGACATAAAAAATTATTTTAAAAACTATAAATCAATCAGTCAGTCAGTCTGTCTGTCTATTCTATTTCTTTCTTTCTTTCTTTCTTTCTTCTTTCTTTCTTTCTTTCTTTCTTTCTTTCTTTCTTTCTTTCTTTCTTTCTTTCTTTCTTTCTTTCTTTCTTTCTAATTTATTGACCGCCCATCTTATCACAGGGTAACTTTACCAGAGGATAACTTTAAAAACTATAAAGCATCAGTTAAAACATAAAACATTAAAATATCAATTCGTGTTAATGTGCTACAGCATGTCCATAAGAAAACAAACAATATGATAAGGAACCCAGAAACTTGGAATGATCTTGGATCTATTTAGCTGTCCTCAGCAATTTTCAAGTGTCTGAAAGGATGCCAGGCAGAATTGTTCAGAAAAGAGGACAAGAATAACAGATTTAAATGGCAGAGAAGTAGATCTCAACTGGAAAGCGTTTTCCTAACAATAAAAATTGTTCAACAATGGAACAGAAAGTCTTTCCTTAGCTGGAGAGCTTAGATTGGCTAGAGACCAACCGTGGGGCATGTTGTAATAATGAATTTCTATACTGGGGAGACAATTGGACTAGATGATCTCCAAGCTCCCTTCTAATCCTTAAATACAAGGCATTAGTATTTGGAAGATATTTAGGAAATTAATCAGAAAGATAGAAGAATTATTTTCTCTCATTCTAAAAGCCATAATTGGGCACATGACTTAGTAGTTTACAATGAAATCTATAGTCACTTTTGGACAAGAAATTGGATTGTGTATGGAAACTGGATCCTACATTCTGAAATGTGATCATGGTTGTTCTTTGATCCCCTGTGTGCCTAAAATGTTCAGCTGAAATTTGTATGTTGTTTATTCATGACATTTCCTGTTCATGTTGCATAACGTTCATTCATATGCAGCTATTCAATAAGCATTTTTATCAACATTCTGCAGCTTGGTAGCTCCATTGTGTGAGAGGAGATCATTGAATATAAGAAAAGAGAACTCGATTTCCATTTCTTTGTTTAGTGAAAAGGTGTGGAACCCCTTCCAAATACCAGGAGAGCCAAACAAGCTGATTGGAACTGCCTATTTTTTTCTGCTTTTGTCAGTTTCTTTGTGTTTATACTTTGATCACATGCAGACATCGAGACAGCAAGCAAAGCAAGTGGGAGCTGTGCCACATTTCTTTTCCGTCTGGCACGACTCCATTGTTTAACTCAGAGAGGAGAACAGGAACAGGTAATCCTTGACTTATGACCACAATTTTGCCCAACATTTCTGTTGCTAAACTTAAATCGACAAGTGAATTTTGCCCCATTTTATGAACTTTCTCGCCACAGTTGTTAACTGAATCCCTGCAGTTGTTGAGTGAGTAACACAGTTCCTGAGTGGATCGTGCTTCGCCATTGACTTGGCTTGTCAGAAGGTCACAAAAGGGACTCACATGACCCTGAGACACTGCAACCATCACAAATATGAACCAGGGGTGGGATTCTACCGGTTCTGACCTATAGAACTGCTTATTATGATTCTACGCAGTTTGGAGAACTGGCAAATCATGCTCCTGGCTGACCCCGCCTCTCTCTGCCCACCCCTCCCCTCCCCACCTAGTCAGTCCTTATCGTGCATGCGCGACATTGCAACATCGCTGACTGCGTTCTCCCCCTGCCCAGTCAATCCTTCAGGTATTTCTTTTCCCCCCTTCCCGATGATCAGCTGTTCCAATGATCAGCTGTGCTGGGATCCCCCTCGCTGTCTTACTGCTTCACCCAGGAGGCAAAAAATAGGCATGTGTGACGAGAGGGCAGGGGGGGGCACACAGCACCCCCTGCACTCTGTTTTTTGCCTTCCTGGGCCCCAGGGAAGACTTCTGAGAGCAAAAATGCCCCCCAGGAGGCCCAAAAACTTCTGGAAGGAAAAACCAACTCCCCAGGAGGCTCACCTAAGGCCCAGGAGGCCCAAATACAGAGTGCAGGGGGGAGCTGCGTGCCCCCCCCCCGCACTCCATTTTTTGCCTTCCTGGGCCCCAGGGAAGCCTAGGAGCAAAAATGCCCCCCCAAGAGGCTTCCCTGAGGTCCTGGAGGGGGAGTGCTGCCAAAAAAAAAGAAGAAGCCATATAGCCATGAGATGCTGCAATGGTTGTGTCATGCCCCTGGTGGAGTCTGACTCTGAGGAAGAGGAGGAACAACCAACAGGGAGTGGGAGTGTGGATCCAGAGGTGGTGGAGGAGGCTGGGGAAGGGCAGAGGCCGGCTGAGCAGTCAGAGGAGGATCCAGGCCCAGCCCCTATCCATCCTAGGTCACGCAGGGAGGAAAGGATCAGGGAAAAGCGAGGTCTACTCAAGAGGAGATTACCATGATCCTCCTCATGGCTTGAAGGTGGGAGCTATGTATATAAGTTTCCAACTGCGCAGTTAGAATTGCTGAAGTCAATTAGTGTTCACCTTGAAAGAGGCTTATCTTTGCTGGCGTTCTTCCCATGGACTTTTCTCGGCTATTTTCCTGGAGTTTATAATTAGTTATCTCGGCTTGCTTCAGACCTCTGATCAATGCGGTTTGATTTGGTTTTCTGTTTGCCTCCTTATTTATTTTTGTGACTTTAAACTGTGCCTAAAAAACAGTGAAGTTAAGTTGAAGGCTTTACCGGACTTTAATATATGTTTTGGGTTTTGGGTTATTTTGAGAGACTACGGGTCATCACAGGTTGTTAAGTGTGAAAAACAGTAATAAGTCTCTTTTTTCAGCGCTCTTGTAACTTTGAACGGTCACTAAATGAACTGCTGTAAGTTGAGGACTACCTACAATAGAACGGAGGAACAAGTAAAGGAAACAAGAGCAAGAAGGCTGAGAAGTTGGCCTTAGATCCCTCACTGGAGATCCTGTTGGCGGTCCTGTCAACTCTTCATATTGAATCCAAGCAGACCTCCTTGGAAATTTGTTCAGGACTTACAAACATGTCTTGTTAGTTTTTTTTTAACACTTGAGAAGTTGTCATAAAATGTGTAAGGGAGTTTCACATGTTATGTTGGAAATGCAACTGCAAAGAGAGTATTTTTTATCATCTCTGGTGAATGTATGATAAAGCATATTGGCATCAAGTTTCTGCTTCAATTCAGAAGTTTCTTAAAAGAAATATAAATAATGAAACCGGAAGGTTTGAAGGATAAGGAATTTGAATGAAAACACAAAGCTTCATTATTATATGTGTTGACAGCAACAAGAATCTAATATACACAAGGATGGAAAAACACATTAATTCTCCACAATGGAAGAACAAATGGTAAAGGGAATGGAGTTAGCAGAGGTAGCAACAATCATTGTTTTAATTAAAGAAAGGCATTTATCTGGCTTTGTTTCTATTTGGAAACCACTTCTGGGCTTTTCGCTCAAATCTGAAAAATATATATGAAACTTTGGTTTTAGTTTTGATGATTGGAATGATTTTGTGATTATAGAAATGGCTTGAAATCTTGTCAAATGTAAAGCAAAAGATTGACATTGCATTAGTTTTGTAATCTACTGCACTGAAGAAAGTCAGAAATCATTATCTTTTTCTCTCTTTACATTTTTCTTCTTTTCCCCTAACTTTTGTTCTTATGCATTTTAATCTTATAACGAAACTTAATTAAAAAATTATTATAAAGGAGAATGTTTGTAGTTCAGGTTTCAAATGAGAGCTCCTTGATGCTTTCTAAGTTTGGCTGTTTTCTTGCAGATGTTTTATCACCAAAACTAGGTAACGTCATCAGTGCTGTGTCAGGGAACAGCATCACTGCTGCATTAGAGCACTGGTGATGTCATCTAGTTAAATCTGCAACCAAGCTCAGAGTACCAAGGATCCCTAATTTCCCTCACCACATTTCCCTCACCACATTGTAAAAAGATGTTGAGACTCTAGAAAAAGTACAGAGAAGAGCAACCAGGATGATTAGGGGACTGGAGACTAAAACATACAAAGAACGGTTACAGGAACTGGGCTTGGCTAGTCTAGTGAAGAGAAGGACCAGGGGAGACATGATAGCAGTCTTCCAATATTTGGGGGGCTGCCACAAAGAGAAAGGGGTCAAGCTATTTTCTAAAGCGCCTATAGGCCAGACAAGGAATAATGGAGGGAAACTGAACAAGAAGAGATTTAACCTGGAAATACGGAGAAACTTTCTGACAGTGAGAACAATCAACCATGGAACAGCTTGCCCTCGGAAGTTGTGGGAGCGTCATCCCTTGAGATTTTCAAGAAGAGATTGGACTGCCATTTGTCAGAAATGGTGTAGGGTCTCCCGCTTGGGCGGGGGGTTGGACTAGATGACCTACAAGGTCCCTTCCAACTCTGATTGATACTCTGATTAGATAAACTCTGTTTATCTAATTTATTATTTTGTTTTAAAAAATGAGTTAGAAACATTTCACCCACCTGAACATAGTTCTGTAGGAGAGTTGAAACAGGCCTTCCTCTTTCCACTGCCCACTGGCTCCATCAGGTCCAGGAAGAATGGTTTGTAAGTTAAGGCACATGGCCTTTGTCAGGCTGTGAAGGTTCTTGTCCGTCAGAGAGCTGAAGGAAACACACAAGAATATTTTGTGAAACCCCTTTTTGCTTCCCACTTAGATTCCCCAAACTCAGGTTCCTTAAATAAACCTTAGAAACTTGACAACTTAGCTAGAAGTCATTGTGAGTTTCTGATAGTCTGACTCACTATGGTAGAAAAAGTGGAACATTCTGACTCACTATGGTGGAACATTCATGCCTTATGTAGAAATGATTAAAGATTTTGGTGCAATCCCCATTGGGGCTATAAATATTACACTGTAACTCAATGGGACTTAGTCCCAGGTATGTTCAGGATAGCAGTTTAAAATAATGTATTCAATGAGGATTTACCAGGGGTCTCATACCAGTGGCCCGTTGGCTGAATTCAGCCTCCGAGTAATTTTCTGCAATCGACAATACTCTGTAAGCACTGATAGTGCTTAGCAAAAGGGTGTTGCAAATCCATGCAACCAGGGCCAGGGGAAACCACAGGAAGAGGAACTTAGGAGTCCTAGATATAGTGGTAAAAGAAATCTGCCAAAAAGAGTCTGATTCCCATAAGCAAATTCCAGTATAGGATGGGTGGTAGAAGAAATGGAGTCAGCTGGAACCCCAATCCTTTCCTGGAAAAGTTAATTTTAAAAAGTAAGACTTTTCCATATAGAATGTGGAATGTTCAGAAATTTGCAAATAAAAAGTGTATGTTTGGGACAGTTGTATATAAAATCAACATAACTCCGGAATAACAGAGAGCTGGTTGATCTAAACAAAATGTATATTTGAATTGATAAATATCCTAAGCATAAGTTACAGATAACCTGGTATTCACAAAAGTACAAGAATGGATATACTGAGAAAAGGCAATTTGGCTGAACTTTTTTTTAATGGATTCAGTACAAAAAAAAAAAAAGAATAATAGAATAGAATAGAATTCTTTATTGGCCAAGTGTGATGGACACACAAGGAATTTGTCTTTGGTGCATATGCTCTCATGTACATAACGGAAAAAAATGCATTCATCAAGAATCATAAGACTCACTTAGTGTTAGTCGTGGTTATTAACAAGCAACCAAATCATACTAGGAAACAAATAAAACAATACAAATTGTAAAGATAACAAAGCTGGCAAAACACCGTGTGATATCCTGTGTTGCTTCTACATTCAGAATGGCACTGACATATGTCAAAGTTTTCCCATGAATGGGAACAAATGGGAAAACTTTGACATATGATGCCCTCAGTGGCATTCTTGAGGTAACAGTTCTAGAGGAATCCTTGGATTGAATTTCATTTCAGCCTCACAGCTGTTCTATGAAGAATATCAGATTGTGAAATGAGGAGTGGCAGTGCTACTGAAAGTTCATTGTGAAATGAGGAGTGGCAGTGCCACTGAGAGTTTATTGCTAAAATGGGTCTTCGTCATGTTTTGGGGAAACTATGTTGGCTTAATGAATCAAAAATGCATCAGCTGCTCCCTATATTTCTCCAGTAATATCCCAAGGGACCAGTTACAGTGGTTATTTTGGCATGTCCAGGCAGTAGGAAACTTCCTCAAGCTTTCACAGGGAACATGCATGGGAAAGTCATGCTGCTTGACATTAATTCATTTGGACTTCCAATCTAACATCCTAAATGACCCACAATACTGAAATCCTTTCAATAAGAAAACTAATAGAACATAATATTTGTAGCTCAGGATTAAATGGTGGGGTCCTGGGTGCTCTCTGAACTTGGTTGCTTTTTTTGTTGAAATATTTCGTTAATAAACTAGATGACATCATCAGGCTACCATCAGGGGTTTGTTAGTATGGAGGGGAGTTTGAGCAAATCCCCACCTTACTAGTACTGATGATATTACCTAGTTTGGTAATGAAACATCTGCAGGAAAACAAGCAAGCTCCAAGAACACCAAAGGCCCCACATTAAGAAAACTCTTACAAATTATTACCAGAAGAGGCCAGATGTCATGTCTTTTTCACCCATATAAACAAACCTATAGTAGTAAGTGCTTTTCTCATCAGAAAATTCCTGGTTCATACTCTGCCATGCACTCACAGGGTTACTTTAGCCTAGCACTCTTTTCCAGTCCCAGCCTTTCCTTTCTATTGCCAGTCCAAAGTCAGCAGGCCTACCTAACAGAATTCCTTACTGAAAGATAGGCTGTTGGCTTCCTTTATGATTACTTGTAAAAGAGCTTTTGAAACAGGCTTATTCTCTCTGGATCTGATTTATTAGTTTGTTGTTTCTTTCTTTATTAAATACGTATCCTGCCACGATCAAACAACCCCTGATGTTATCTCACTGTGAGCTATTGAATGAACTCACTAAGAGGTTTATTTAGATCAGGGGTGTCAAACTGGTGGCTTGTGGGCCGGATGGGTCATGCACAGGCCACGCCCATCCCAGCTCCGCAAAGGCAAAAAACATCACGATACGTCATGAGACACAATCGAGTTTGACACCCATGATTTAGATAGCCAGGGAATTAGGACCATCTACAATACAGTACAATATAAGAGTGAAAAGGATCCATTTCATCTACAACCCTGGATCCAGGGTTGGTCTCTTTGGATGGGGGTACATCAAAGCTTCCTTCAAGAAGAGCATTGACAATCTGTCAGACCCAGTGATTACCTCTACACCCATTCTTCACAACAGTGAAAATAGGCAGGGAGACAAAAGGTAAGTAGTAAACAAGAACCAGTCAGCACCTATCCACTTCCTTGGAGGTCACAGCCCAACATGAGATAACAAAATAACATCACAAGACCCCAATCACCACAAGGGACTCTACCAAAATAAGTGCATGTTCTGAAACACCTTGTCTGAATACAATCTGAAGTATAGCCCAGATCTATTATCAGAATTTAAAGGTGATGTTCTTTTTAAGTTTACTATCTCAAGATTTATAATGCTTTTGGCTGGAAGGAAGAATGTAATGTAACTGAAGAAACATTTACTATATATAATTCCTTATCAAGGTTTTATTAACAAAGCTGGACAAAGCTGGTTTATGCATTCCAACACGTATTAAAGATGACCAATTGACTCTCAATTTTTCAATATTTAAAAGAAGATGCTACCACATGTGTAGTATTCCCCGAAATGAGTGTTTTAAATACATAGTCCATAGAACATATCATGGATTTCTTGGGTGCATGCACTTCCCCTATAAAATTTATACTTACCGTCTTAGCATGGTCTTTTCCTCATTAGAATCATAATTTGGGAGTGTCACATCAAACATCCGTTTCATTAAAATTTGTGCATATTGGCCAAAGTCCAGCTTGGCACATGATTCCCAAAGCACCGTTTCATAGGAAAGCGGATCCAATAAGACCGTTATGAATTTTCCTGCAACTTGAACCTTAAACAAACAATTACATTTAGTCATGTAGAATTAATCTAGTACATTAATGTTAAGAAAGCAATGAATTTTGAAAAATAGAGATATTTCATCATATCCTGCTCCCAACTCTAATCCCTAGAAATCCAATGATTCCTATTAAACAGAAGACTGAATTGAGGTCTTACAGTTTATCCTAAGTCTTGCACATAATTTTTCAACAGACTCCTAATGCAACATTATAGTCAATAAAAAACCAGACCCCGCTTCAAGGATGGAGAACATGTGAACCCTCAGGAATTGAAGAGTGGAATTAGAACAAGGTCTGGAGGGTATACTAAATAAACTGCCTTGACTGTCCTGAGGACCAAGCAGTGGTCTTTGTAGTGCCTATGAGTTTGCATATCATAGCATCTAATGCATTATATTAAAAAGGAGGTGAACATGGAGGATGTTTATACTAGGGCACATTTTAAATGGTTCCTGAATCTCAGTAATGAAATTTCCATATAAAGAAGGCCCTTAGAATCGCTGTATGAACAATTATTAGAAAAAATGATTGATTCATAATTTAAGAGATTTTGGAACTGAGTGAATAGTTCATGTCCCTTAATGGCATCAGTTAAACTGGCTGCGTGACTCTGAGCTAGTCATTCTTTCTCAGCTCACCTCACCTCATAAGGTTGTTGGTGGGAGTAAAATAGGAGAAGGGAAGAGCGTTATATATGTTCACCACTTTGGGTTAATTATTTTAAAAAACACCAATAAACGATACTTTCCCCAAACATGGATAATATGGATTACTATAGTAAGAAAAGAAAGCGAGAGAGGGGAGAGTGGGAGGGAGAGATCAACTGAAACGGAATTCATATTCCAAATTTAGCCGGTTTATATATGTTTGTATATGACTAAGTACACAATTTCTGTGTCCCTAGCAAAAACATTTGAGTAACATTTTTGGCACCATATAGTGTTCTAAATCAAGAATTAACTTTGATTCCTAGAAATCCTACTAACCAGAGCATACAAAACATTTGCTAGACCAATACTCGAATACAGTTCATCAGTCTGGAACCCACACTACGTATCTGATATTAGCACAATTGAGAAAGTCCAGAAATATTTCACAAGAAGAGTTCTCCACTCCTCTACTCGTTGTAGAATACCTTATGCCACCAGACTTGAAATTCTAGAACTAGAAAACCTTGAATTACGCCGTCTTCGGTCTGATTTAAGCATGGTATACAAAATCATACATTGCAATGTCCTACCTGTCAATGAATACTTCAGCTTCAACCATAACAACACAAGAGCACGCAATAGATACAAACTCAAAGTTAACCGCACCAAACTTGATTGCAGGAAATACGACTTCAGCAATAGAGTGGTCAATGTCTGGAATATTCTACCCGACTCTGCAGTTTCTTCCCCAAACCCCAAAAACTTTAACCTTAGACTGTCTACTATTGACCTCACCCCTTTCCTAAGAGGCCTGTAGGGGGCGTGCATAAGCGCACCAACGTGCCTACCGTCCCTGTCCTATTGTTTCTCTTATTCTTCTTTTATTTTTCTTATATGTACCCATTTCATGTATTCACAACTATGTATACACTTATACTTATTATCTTGTAAACAATTGGCAAATCAAATAAATAAATAAATAAATAAATAAATAAATTGTGCCATTGCTGAGGAATGCTGTTACAGTATTCAGGAACACCTGTAGGGTGAAGTATCACCCACCTCAGTTTTAATGGACTTTGTTTTTGCTCTGGCTTTAAGGAATGAATAGAGGTTTCATAGCTTGGAATTAAAGAGGAAATGATGGAGAATTATTCAAAATCATCTGGCTACATTCCATCAGGTCCCTTCTTCTATTCTATTTGAATCTTTATCTATTTAAAATATTCACAAATTTTGAGGAACACTGGTAGCTAATACTAAATATTCTAAAGAATCCCAACAAAAGTCTCAAGTGTTCCCTTCCATTCTATTATTAAGTGTAATCAATAATAGCCAATAATCACCATTTGAAAAATAAGGTTTTCATACTTATTCTGAACACCTGCTAATCAGAATAGGAAGGGAAATTTCAAATTCCAAATTATGGATAATATCCTCAGATCAATCCTATCTGGAATCATACATCATGATGTCATTAGTTTTTCAAGACTCCAGGATCTCGTGTTTGTGTGTGCATGTGATATATATATGCGTGTGTGTGTGTGTGTGTGTGTGTATACAATCACACACACATACCTTGATTACATGGCAATCACATATGTGATTCTTTTATCTCTTTTCCCAAGAACGCTAATAGGCATCCATAGAAAGAGAGCAAGGAAGGCAAGCAACCAAACATGGGCCCTGATGCAAATTATATAACATGATATAAAAGGGGTGGGACTTGTAGTAACATTGTGTCATATGATTCATCATTCTGATATCATCACAAGCACCTGCATATGGAAATAGGTGTGGCCTTGGAATTTACTATTCCTATTTGCTAATAATTCCTTTCCCTGGCTGATGGCTATTATGCTAGACCACCTTAACACATTTAGATGGATGGGAACAGTAATAACAGTGACACAGCTATGCTGCCTTCTTCTGCTTACACATTTTCGGTGGAAAAGAATACGGAAGCACCAGTGGGAAAACTCAGATGGCTCGCAACTCAAAAGTGACATCATCCAGGTGCCGTATAAAACTCTATCAATTACGTGCTGCACCTTTATTTATTTAAATCATTTATTAGGTTTATACCTTACCAGACAGTCCTCGACTTACAACAGTTAGTGACCGTTTAACATTACGGCACTGAAAAAAGTGACTTATAACCATTTTTCACACTTACGATCTTTGCAGCATCCTCATGGTCACGTGATTTACATTTGGATGCTTGACAACTGACTCATATTTATGACGGTTGCAGTGTCCCAGGGTCATCTGATTCACCTTTTACGACCTTCTGATAAGCAAAGTCAATGGAGAAGCCAGATTCACTTAACCACCGTGTTATTAATTTAACAACTGTAGTGATTCACTTAAGAAATGTGGCAAGAAAAGTTGTAAAATGGGGCAAAACTCACTTAACAAATGTCTCACTTAGCAACATAAATTTTTGGGCACAATTTTGGCCATAAGTTGAGGACTACCTGTATAAGGCCTCCACGCAGTTTACAAGATTTTCAAGGTAGCATTCAATGAATGCCTATCTACACTGTGTCTTGCAGGAGATGAGCTTTGGCACCCTGGAGAATGTAAATTTATCAATACTCACTGTGAAAATATCACCATGTTTCTCTTTCATCTCAGACAGGAACTTGGCAGCATCTTTACCAAATGCCAGTGCGTGCCCAAGCCAAGGAATGTGACCTCTGTCAAGTGGAGGTTCATCAGGCCTCCTGGAAAGCATATCAAGATAGATAAACGATTAACCACATTGCTATTTAATCATTCCACACTGTCTCATAAAATACATTGTCCTGAAGTCTTAGATGAAGTTAAATAATACAAGAACCAGAAGCTACCATGTGACAGCTCTAGCAACAATTGAAAGTGAGGGTGTGGCATATGGGCTTTACTGATGTGGCATGGCTGCTCTTCTGCAAGCATGAGACCTCCAATGGAATGGGAGATAGGGAAAAGAGAAGCTCGCTTGTCTGCTGGCCAGGGCTATCCAGGACTGTTGTGGGGAGATGCTGAGGCCCATTGGTCCAGCCTGATACAGAGGTAAGCAGTACTAGAGCCTTGGGAGTCCCACCTCCTCAATGGTTATGCCGCTACTCTAACCTAAAAATTGGAGAGAGAGAAGAAAGAAGGAGAAAACAGAGAAACATTGTGCACGGAGGGAACAGCATAGCTAGAGAGAAGGTCTGGAGAGAAAAATTAAGTGCTCGGTAGTTGTTAGTCCTTGTAAGGAGAAGAAAAGTGCAGGAGTGGTTTCCCTGGAAGAGGGAAAGTGGAGACCCAAAGAGATGAGAGCTCCATCCAGTGCCAAGAATAAGAAAGAGGGACCCAACTGGCCATAAGCAGTGGCTTCACCAAAGAGCCAGGAGGGGTAGATGTTGGTTGATAAGCTCTGGTCACAAAGAAAGACTGGTTGGACGTCTCTCAAAAGATCCTTTCCCCAATGGACAAGCAGAAGGTCTTCGGAAGAGGTCAATCCACGCTGAGCTCATTACAGCAAATTCTAGCCCACTGTTTCTTTTCATTCTCTCTCCTGTCAGGGCCACAAACTGAGGAAGGAGACTAACAGAATTACAGAGTTGGAAAGGACCTCAGAGGTCTTCTGGTCCAACTCCCTGCTCAGGTAGGAAACCTTAGTCCAGTGGTGGCTAACCTTTCTGGGCTCCTGTGCCAAAAATTGCGAGCACACCAGCGGGCCCGCACTTGCGTGCCAGCACCCAGAATGGAATGCGCGCCCCCCCTCCCCATGCCCCTTGCGCATGCACTCACAATCCTTCACCCCCACCCCCTTACCTGCACTGCGCCTCACAGCTGATTTTTCGGCTGGTTTGAGGCCTTTTTCGGCCTCCCAAAGGCTTGGAAAAAGCCTCTGCAAGGCTTCTCAGGCTGAATTATAGGCCCGTTTTGTCACTTCCGGTATTACAGTGACGAAACGAGTGACAAAAAGTGACGAAATGAGCCTATAATTCAGTCTGAGAAGCTTTGCAGAGGCTTTTTCCAAGCCTCTGGGATGCCAAAAAAGGCCTTAAACCAACCGGGGGGGAAATCAGCTGTGAGGTGTGCGCAAGTGCAGTAAGGTAAGTTTGCCTGCGGCTCACGTGCTGGCACAAATGGCTCTGTGTGCCACTTGTGGCACGAGTGCCATAGGTTCACCTTATACCATTTCAGACAAACGGGTGTCCAATTGCTTCTTGAAAAGTGACTCAGAGAAAGGAAGAGGAAGGAGGAGAACTAGACTAGAGGGAATCTCTAGGAGGAAGACTTAGGAGGAAACCCGACACTGCCTGAATACCAGTACTGTGTTGTACTGTTGTATTGTTCCAACACTACTGTAAACAATGTCACAGTATATAGTAAAAAGCATAAAAGTTTCCACTGTCTTATTTTTCAATGTCGATTGCCACACTTGCAAAACAACTGCTGTGACAGAGATATTTGTAAAACAGCCTCAAACAATTTAACAGAGTTGGAAGGGACCTTGTAGGTCATCTAGTCCAACCCCCTGCCCAAGCGGGAGACCCTACACCATTTCTGACAAATGGCAGTCCAATCTTTTCTTGAAAGTCTCAAGTGATGGCGCTCCTACAACTTCCGAGGGCAAGCAGTTCCATTGGTTGATTGTTCTCACTGTCAGAAAGTTTCTCCTTATTTCCAGGTTAAATCTCTCCTTGTTCAGTTTCCATCCATTATTCCTTGTCTGGCCTACAGGTGCTTTAGAAAATAGCTTGACCCCTTTCTCTTTGTGGCTCAAAAGTCTAATGAATCTTATCTCAATTGCAATCCTTTTTAAAAAATATATATATATAACCCCTCTCATTATGGTAGAGGTAATTGGCATCATATGGCAGAAGTTTAAAGAGAAAATTAAATTAAGAAAACTGTTTAAGGGGTGAATTATTGGCTCAGATAACTACTGTCCATATTGAGAAGACAGAGCCCTGGTTAGATAAAGTATAATTTAGATAAATGTATCACAATTTAAAAACCCCTGTCAAAATGTGTTTGTGGTTAGCAGATGAATTTCCCAGAGTAATTGTGCTATGTTTAACTGCTGCATCTTGAACATTAATTTAATGGGATGCAGATGTCTGAAATTAATTGAAAGCACATTATAAATCAGAAAAGGTTATATATCTTTAACATAGTCCTCACTACCAAACAAACACCACAATCCTGCCAGTCTTGTGCTATCTCCTTGCTTCAGCATATTGTATACCTCTAGATTCAGAATGTTCAATCTATGCTCATGTAATTATTTCCTCCATGGGTTCTGAGCTACTTTCATCCAGTAAAAATGCTAAAATAAAATATAGTTTTATTTATTTAAAATGAAAAGCATTTCAGTTGCTCCATTCTTTTCCTATATAAAATTCTTACTTTAGGTGAAACCTCCTCCCATATGGTGACACCCCCCCCAAATGGCTCCTCCTCTGAGAAAAAAAACAGCCCCAGATACAGATCTCGTGTCTTTCAACAATCTGTTCATATACAGCTATTGTCCTTGAAATACATAATAATCCATAATCAGGAGGCTGTCAGTTCGATCCTAGGTAGAGGCTAATATTTGGAATAGACTCTCTTGCTCGAGCAGGGGGTTGGACCAGATGACCTCCAAGGTCCCTTCCAACTCTTGTTATTCTATGATTCTATAAGTATGGGTGAAACCGACACCACTGTTTTTATAAGGTTGCCAGCTACTTTTCTGACCAAGAATGAAAAGGATGAAGCAATCACAATTCAATGTTTTCCTAGGTTTTAGTTTCCAGATCTGCTGAATAAATTCAATTCAATGCATTTCTTAATAAAACATTTTTCTATTTAGCCCAAAAGATCACATAGAAATCAGTTGTTAACCAACAACTTACTTAACTGATATAAACTATGGACTATCAACTGCTTAACTAATATAAACTACGGGCTGTTTGATTCTAAAAATAGAGAAAGTTGGCTGCGCTGCCATTCTGCCTTTCTCTATAGTTAAGCCCAGAGGGTAATAAATTACAAAATGTGTTTCTTAGTTCCACAAGGACAAAAAGAAGAAAGGGCTTTCCAAGTTTATAAGACAGAGAATTCAAGTACAATGGTTGCTAAAGACACCTACAAAGTAAATTTTTGTAGTTTGCTCTCAATCCCTTCTTCATCAAATATACAGCTTCCTTGGAAAAAGAAGTTTAGAGCATTTTTACTTACTTACTTACTTACTTATTAAATTTATGTGCCATCCATCTCACTGTCAACATTTTGTGTATACATTGATATATAATTTTAAAATTATTGTAAAAATTAATATTTAAATAATTTTCCAGGATGTATATCTGTTATAATAAACTATGAAAGATGAAGCCAGCCATGTAATGAGTAAATGCATTCATCTGCAAATTAATTTGTATTTTCCTTTTAAATTCCTTGCTGATTATTTAGCATATGGCCTATTGCACATGGACTTGCAATCAGTGGCGGGATTAAAAATTTTTTACTACTGGTTCTGGACGTGGCTTGGTGGGTGTGTCGTGGCTTGGTGGGCGTGACAGGGGAAGGATACTGCAAAATCCCCATTCCCTCCCCACCCCATTAACCTGCTTTCCAGCTCTGTTCTCCTGTGCAGGGCAACAAAAGAAGACCCAGACGATCAGCTGGGACTCGGGAAGCAGAGAATAGATGCGGGCAGGGCCAGTCAGAGGTGGTATTTGCTGGTTCTCTGAACTACTCAAAATTTCCGCTACCGGTTCTCCAGACCTGGTCAGAACCTGCTGAATACCACCTCTGCTTGCAATATATATTAACATTTCACTTCGATTAATAAAATACACTAAAATATAAATGTAAAAAAGATCTGTCTTCAAATTCAAATGTCTGGGCCATCTAACCATTGAAATGCAGCATCATATATAAGAAAAAAAAATCAGGTATGTGCCCTCAGCTTAGTCTGTCACAATGTGATCTACAGTTTGACATGGGACCCCACAGTCACACTGAGGGGAGGATGTTATGTCCCATTTATGCAGACACCACAGACACCACATGAGGTGCGAATCCTATTCAGGATTGTCCATTGCTTGTGTGGTAGTTCAAAGCCTGGCACCTTTTTGTGGGATTATTTATATGTCTTCCTAGGCCTGGAAGTTCAGTGACCGATTTGGCTTTCTATTGGAAATCGATGTTAAAGTTGTTGGGCAGATCTTGTGCAAGTGGTTTCCTGGATTTGAGTCTTCCTGCTGATCAATGGCAAAGGTCAGCATGCACCAGTAGGAGTGAGCTGTTCATAATTTTTCTGTATTCTCTCATTAGTCACCAACATCCGATCATGGATATGGCACAAGAAGAAATAGTAGTCCAACTTGCCTTTGTAAAACTGGCAGTGCTACATGGCTCAGAACAGGAAGCCAGCAAGTCAGAATGGTTTTAATACATCCACTTATAATCCTCATGGTGTCGTTGAGTCTGCCGTCTAGCTTACTAGTATGGCAGCTGTTAAGCCATACAGGGGCACAGTATTCTCCTTTGAAAAAGATGGTGTGGTGATCCAAGATCCTGTTTAGGTACACACCTTAATGAGACCTGTAACTTTTTAACAAGGGGAAGCTTGTTAAAACTTCTAACTCCAGAACTGATCGTAATGTGGGAGGTTGGGTGAGTCACAAATAAGTGCTAGGTACAACGTGATTTCAACTCAGTAGCATGCCAACTGATGAATTTATTTAATCTATTAGGATGC